ACTGTGTTGGCCTTTTTGGCAGCTGCAGCACACTGCTGGCTCATATTTAGGTGATTGTCCACTAGGACTCCGAGGTCCCTCTCACAGTTACTACTATTGAGCAAGGTGCCACCTATGCTGTACTTGTGCAATTGGTTTTTCTTGCCTAAATGTAGAACCTTGCTTTTTTCACCATTGAATTTCATTTTGTTAGATAGAATATATGTAGAGAGATGTACAGTTTTGGTGGCCAATGGTGCCCCCATCCAGCCTGAGTGGGATACCATGCATTTCACAAGTGTTGAATATCTATGCAGAGCTTGATATCAACAAATACAAGATTGTGGATATTTATCTTATACCTGAATTTATTGGTAAAAATTGGGACATTCAGCTATTGAAGATGTAGAGAGCTAATGTTTCTTAAAAGAAACAGAAAGAAATCTTCATAAAAGAACCCAAGTTCAAGAAAGGAGAAAGATGGTGATGTTCCACATATAGAGAGATGCATCCTAAAGTACTTGTAGAGCTATAGAACAATTACACAGAAATCCCCAGGCTGGCAGCTTTCACCTAGGAAAGATTAGATAAGTCTCTAATGCATTTAGGGTCTCCCACCCCCTTCCTACAACCCTAGCCACCTCTCCTTCTATTGCTGCTGCCCCTGTATCAGTCCATCAAGCACTGTCCTCTTGCTGTTCTATTTTTTAAAACAAATTTAGCAAACATCTTCTTCCTTACCTGTGGAGATGTTAGCAGAGTAGGCTGGTTTGGTTCTTCAACAGTGAGACATTGGTGAAGTGGGCACAGCAGTGTCTGCATTTTCTGCATTGCATGAGAAAAATACATCTTCCTTCCCCTGTCCTTACCACTTTCTATAGAGGGACAATTGAGAGCATCCTGTTATACAGCATCACAGTCTGGTTTGGAAGCATCACTGCTTCAGACAGGAAGGCAGTGCAGAGAGTGGTGAGGATGGCAGAAAAGATTATTGGCACTTCCCTCCCTTGCATCCAGGACATAGCACATAAGCATTGCTTGAGCAGGGTCTGCACGATTGTCTGGGATGCTACACAACCTCTTCACAACCTATTTTCCTTATTACCTTCTGGGAGGAGGCTTTGTGGTATCCAAAGCTGAACATCCAGATTCAGTCACAGTTTTGTTCCATACAATATTAACCTTGTGAACTCTCAAGCTTCCTCTTTCCACTATGTATTCAAGATGGACAGTGATTAATATTTATATATATTTATATGTAATAGGTATATACATATGTTGTATATAGCATGTTTATATGTGTGTTATGTACAGTATGTGTACACTTTTGAGAGCAGGCAACAGAATTTCATTTTTTAATGTGTGCCAGGGTGCCCACAGTAAAAAAAATGACAATAAAGGTTATCTTACTAACTCTTTCTTATTCCCCCACTGGTTATCTGGTTTTCCACATGCTGTGAAAATCATTGTTTCACCAGAAAGGACCAGTGAAGACATAGTTCTTCCTTCTCTAAACTATTAAGCAGCCACATGTCCCCAAAGGCAACATCTGTTTGGATCAGTTTGCTAACATTCCCACATTTCAAAGTATATGATTGTCACTGTAGGCTCCATCAGCCAGGATCCAGCCAGCCTAGCATATCGTGGGTTGTTGCAGCTGAGACACTGGGATATGTCATTCAAGGATCCTGGCCTGCAGGGCCACAGGCCTTTATCCTGTAACTTGATCCTGACAAGGATCAGATACGCCATGTTTATTGAGTTCTTTCTTTGTTACCGCCACAAGAATATTTTTCAGAAACAGGCTCTATTGTGTTTTAACCAAATATCTTCCCTTTGTCTTGCGATTAGGTAATTGACATTAAAGAAAAACTAAAGCTTTCCAAAAAGTTCTGGTCTACATTACCCTACACCATCTGCAAGGAAGAAGCAGTGACTGGTGGCATGTCTAATGAAGAGGACTGTTGGAATGGACACACCAAAGCTAAGTAAGTGAGAAAAAAGCCCATGAAAATAATATTTACAAGTGAAACTCCCATGCAGGGTGTAGAAGGTTTTGCTCTGCTTTGTTACTCTCTGTCAAATGAATACAAGGAACACTGGCATTCTTTCTCCAGAACTAATGAAAACGTCGCTCTCTCCATTCTAATTGGAATACTTTGAAAAAATACATGCAAATGCCAGAAATTCCAGATTCTTGGAGACAAATTCCTTGTGTGTCCAATCACACTTGGCCAATAAAGAATTCTATTCTATTCTATTCTATTCTATTCTATTCTATTCTATTCTATTCTATTCTATTCTATCTTATCCTATCCTATTGTATTCTATTCTATAGACAGTATCAGTGTAAAAACCCGTGCCAAAACCCATAATAAATTTATAACATTATGAGTATATGATCTGTAAAAAAACCTTGCATATTGTATTTATTAAATGTATATGCCACCCATCTCATTATCAAGTGGCTTATGTCTCCTTACAACTTTTAACTTACAACTTTTAAAAAACATGTTGGGTTAAATTCCTCTGTCTGCGTATGTATGTGTGAATGAAGAGTAAAAGGAAAAGATTACTATAGGCCTATGCTGAGAAGGCTTGCCAAATTTGTTACTTTAACCCAAGTCAGATAAAAAGGAGAGGGTTGTTAAAAAAGATACCAAAAGAAGATGAAGCTTCTCAATGCTTTTTCCCCCCTCTAAAAACCTATATGCATTAGAGACATTTTTTTTTATTAGTTAAATGCATTGATTTTGACATTTATCTGGCAAGGAGAAAAAGCCAGAATAAGACTGAAATTGCTACAAGAAGCAAAAGAAAACGGAGGATTGGGGCTACCAGACTGGGTTCTATACTATCAAGTAGCTGCATTAACATGGCTAAGACTACAATACCTAGAAGGACATGACCTACAACTTGGATGGCATGCCTTTCTGTGGTATGGGAAAAATAAAATTCATAAATACTTTCAAAATCATTATATAAGAAATGCCTTGCTTTTGACATGGGAAAAGATAAAAATGAAAAATTATATGAAAATACCAGGATGGATCTCGACAATGGAAGCGTTTGTGCACTCAGATTTAATCAACTATGAGAAACTTGGGTCATACAAAGACATTTTGAATACTGATGAAAAATTACAAACTAAACAAGAACTGGAAGAACAGGATATTGAGCTATCATGGTGGCCACACTTGCAAATGCAAATGAGATACAAAAAAGATGCTAAAACATATGTTTTCTATAAAGATCAAACAGTGTTTGGCCAGATATTATTGTTATCAATGAAAAATTGATCAAGAAACTCTATAAACTTGTGTTAAACCTCAAGATGGAAGATGAATAAGTTAAAGAAACAATGATAACTTGGGCAAAAAAATTTGGGCACAATGTAGAATTAGAAAAATGGCAAAACTTGCGGGAAAGAAACTATAAAATAATGAGGGCAGGCTAATTATAAAGAAAACCTATATAAAATGTTTTATAGATGGCATATACCGCCTGCAAGATTAGCAAAAATGTTTAAAAACATGTCTAGTAATTGTTGGAAATGTAGGCAAAAGCCAGGCACATACTACCACCTTTGGTGCACATGCCCTAAAGCAAAAAAAAATTGGTCAAAAATGCACATGTGGTTACAGAAAATGTTAAGAAAACATGTCGATTTTAAGCCAGAATTATTTCTTTTAGGTATAATTACAGAGAACTATGATAAAAATGTATATACTTAATATTACATGTATTAACAGCAGCAAGGATTGGAAAAACAAAGAAACACCATTGGAAGAAGATATAATCAGGAAAATTTTAGATTGTGCGGAATAGAATATTAGAATATTCTATTCTATTCTGTTCTATTCTATTCTATTCTATCGTATCCTATCCTATCCTATTGTATTCTATTCTATAGACAGTATCAGTGTAAAAACCCGTGCCAAAACCCATAATAAATTTATAACATTATGAGTATATGATTTGTAAAAAAACCTTCCATTTGTCTGAAAGGTACAGAGTCTCTTGCTTGAGCAGGGGGCTGGACTAGGAGACCTCCAAGGTCTTTTCCAACTCTGTTATTCTATAGTTCTGTAATTCTGTAATCCTAGTCCCTTTGTTGATGGCTGCATTTTAAATATATATATCTTTCCATTGGGAGATATACTTCTTTTAGGGCTTGTCCTGATTAGTGTATCAAATTCACAATCCCTCATGGCATATTGTGCCAAATCACTATCATGCTTTGTTTGGAGTTTTGGATATTATATTAGGAACTGGTCATAGGAATGGATACAGAAAAAAGAGGATGTTATTTTCTGATTTGTCCTTTAAATCAGATGCTGTTCCACTGACTAGAGAATTGCTTTCCAAATTTATTTACTTAATTCTTGCTGAAATCAGTAGCTCTCTGATAAATACTCAAGGTTCATTTATTTCAGTTTCATTTACATACTCTGACTAAAACCTAGAGCTTTTAATTCCTGGTTGTTCCAACAGAAGGACGTAAAGAAGAGCACAGCAGTAAGTCATGCTGATTTTTCGCATGGAATTATGTGTTTCTTTTATGCAAAGTTAACAGTGTTAATTCAGTACACATTACATCCCAGTGTAAATAACTGTAAATCATTTCTTTAAAACATAAACAGGTATTACATGAAAATATTCTCTCTCATCTATCTCCCATGGTAAATCAGGCCATGGTTACTCAGGAAATACAGTGATTTGTTTATTTGTTTGTTTATTTGTTTGAAAAGAGAACTACTTGTTTGTATCCATTCTAGGAAGACACCCCTCCATGAAACATAAGACACCGTAGAATGAGTGAATGTTCCTATAAGCATATTTATCACAAAAGATGAATGTATGTGTCATGGATAAATGTCCTTGTCTCAATGAATAATGCCATGGAAGTGTAATCATTACAATGATGTGTCTTAATTCTCCATTCTGTTGTGCAGATATCTACCTGAGATCATGAATGATGGACTCACCAATCAGATAAACAATCCTGAGGTTGATGTGGACATCACCCGGCCTGATACCTACATAAGACAACAAATCATGGCTCTTAGAGTAATGACCAACAAACTAAAAAATGCATACAATGGAAATGATGTGAACTTTCAGGACACAAGTAAGACATTATGTAGGCAATCTTCTCTGCTGCAACCTTGCTTTCTGACTTTTAACACTAGTAGCAATCTGCATTGAAGTTAATGGCTGTCTTCTTCCTCTATCCATTGCTGTAATTGCTTTTGGTGGTTAGACACCTCTGTGGATAGGCATTTGGGCAGAGTAAGTAAGGTCATATCATAAATGGAGGTGGGAACCAGGTTTTTCCATGTTATTCCATTCAGGGTACAGCCAACTTCAGGTCTTACAATACTATTGAATTTGTTTCCCACTTTTAAATGAAGAGGAAACACATTGTTAATTTTTCAGCAATCACAGAGAGGAAGCTGAGAGCTGGAAAAGGTGTTTTGAAGACTCTGTGTGGTCTTGAAACTGCTGCTTTTTGTTTAACTTATAAAGAGCAGCCTTATACATGTGAATCAAATGGTGGAGATCTTTTGAGCATTATTTTTACTGTCAGTGGTTATATGAGTTTTCACAGGCTGAGGTCTTCCATGTCTAGCAGTAGAAGGTCCTACAGTGTAAATAAAACCACTTAGAAAGTTTCTACCATATAATGGGCAGAGGCTGGACACCCTCAAGCTGCTCTGCTCCTAGATTAAATTATAGAATCATAGAGCTGGAAGGGACTTGGAGGTCTTCAAGTCCAACCCCCCTGCTCAAGACAGGAGCCTTATACCATTCCCAGTCAAATGGTAGTCCAACCTCTGTTTGAAAACCTCCAGTAAGATGCCCACTTAAGGCACCACTAAGTTGGCAGCACCACCACCCTTGTCTAAATCAGAAGATAAGAAGTGGTACCCAACTGCACAGATCCTTTTCAGGGAGCAAGAGATTGTGTCCCTCTTACAAAAAGACAGGAAGGGTGTGTGGATACACACACACATGTAATATGAAATCTGCTATACAAGAGAGCTCCTCCCCTCAGGAACTAATTATGGAAAAGAAAATGAATATTTAATACTACATGTATTGACAGCGGCGAGAATAGTATTTGCCCAATTTTGGAAAAATGAAGATTTACCATCTGATCAGACTATAATTACTAAAATTTTAGAATGTGCAGAAATGGATAGATTAACTTTAGAGATCAAAGAGAAAGAAAGAAGACTCTTATCTACTTTAAAACATGGGAAAATTTTTATCAATGGTTAGCAATACGATAGAATGAAAAAAGATTTTGAAATTAATTTGGTTGAATGTGTTTCTAAGCATTAGTGATGATAACTTATTAATATTTTATTAATTATGGTTATTTAGTAAGATGAATATTATTTATATCTTTTATTCTTATGGTTATTGTTAACCCAGTTTATTATAATTGTTTAGTACTATATAAGTGATGTTTATTTGATTTTGGTACCCGGACGGTAACTTGCTTGTTAAGCGTGGATTTTTTGTTGTACCCACCCCCAATTCCCTTGCGTTTACCCTTTCCTATACCCCTATTGATCCCATCCCTTTCCGATCCTTATAAAACCCAATAAAACAATAAATAAATAAATAAATAAATAAATAAACAAATAAACAAACAAATAAATAAATAAATAAATAAATAAATAAATAAATAAATAAATAAATAAAAGAGAGGTCCTCTCTGGCCACCCTGCTTCTTCCTCACAGGTTGCTCCAGCCCTGTGTTGATGCTGCTTAACTCTACACTTGTCTTCAAAACCCCTGTCATGACTCTTTAGCAGCAGCAGGCAAAGGGTTCAGTCCAGAGTGCAGGCCCCAGCCCCTCTTCCCCTGGACAATCCTCCTGCTGGTGTATCCTCCCGATTTTCTGTTCCAGGAAAACAACTTTCCATTAGAGATAATAATTCCTGATGAGCATCTGCATAAAGAGGACAGTACAAAATAACGTGTTCCATTGTTTCAATCATTCCTCCACTGCATGGACTCTATTCAAAGGGGATCTTTTGGTATCTCCTTTCAATTACAGCGATTGGGAAAGCATTGAATCTGGCCAAAGATAAGGTCCTTCTGCATTTTGGAATTGTTCTGCAACTAAAATATCTGGCTGGTTGGATGAAGTGTGCGGAGTGGCTTAGGAACATATATCTAAATCAAAGCTCCCCAACCTTTCTAGGTTGGCAGCCCAGAGGGAAAGGGGGGAGAAGGAAATGTGTGTGTGTGTGTGCGTGCGTGCAGGCGCAAACAGGTGCACGCACAGTGGCAGCATTAGCACTCATGCACAAATGGGGGCTCTAGCACCTGCATAGTAGCGCTAGTGTGAGGGGGGTGCACGCACTTACCAGCCATTCCCACAATCTGGTGGCCAGGCTGCGGCCCACAGGTTGGAGACCCCTGGTCTAAATAGAGCTGGTAAATTTACTTGCAGCTCTAAATTAATGACCCGATCCTCAGGTTGAAACTTAGCAGGATTTTGTTTTCCTTCTCTGTGCTAACTACTATTCTCTTGAGCTGTTAATATATAATATAATGCATTTTGGTAATTCCACCTAACTTTCATTTTATTGTTTTTCCTGTCACTTGAGATAAAGCATTTCACACAGTGTAGCTCCCAAATATCTCTGTACGGTTATTCGGGATATTTGAGAGATGAAGTGAAACCCTCTGATTTCCCATGCCTGGAAAAATGACAGTGAAGGATATCACTGCATATCTAAGCCCTGTGGACCTTCCTGCTTGCAAAGATTCTAATCCATTTAGAAGGAAGAAGTGCAAGGGAACAATAAGCATATTCACCTGAAGCTTGAAAGCATGTTAAGATACTTGTGTGTAACCAGAATCATGGAAACATTAAAATCAGAGCTGTCCTGTCTACCTCACCTACCTCCCCAAATCTAATGGCACGTCTGGGGCTCCAGCAATCTTTGACTGGGACAGCAGAGAAGCCCAATCCAGGAGAAGCAAAGGGTTGGGATACTCCTTTGGTGGCTTCTGAAAACTCTGTATATGTAGGCCAGGGGTCTTCAAACTTGGCCCCTTTTTTACTTGTGGACTTCAACTCCCAGAATTCCTCAGCCAACATGCCTGGCTGAGAAATTTTGGGAGTCGAAGTCCACAAATCATAAAATGGCCAACTTTGAAGACCCCTGATGTAGGCCATAGACTAGAGCAAAAGATGAATGCACAACTCTCAGTTGTCTTGTGCTAACATAAAAGATTTGTTGAAAATTTCTGTATTAGAATGAACCTTTAATAAACTCTTGAAAAGCTGGCTTTTAAAACTGCAGGAGCTCCCATTGAGAGAATATTTTTGGAACTATGCTACTATTTTTTCATTTTATACACAAGCACACAAGTGTGTGTGTTTATTGATTGATTTATTGGGTATACACACACACACACACACACACATCCACATTTAAAATTCTTTAATAGTTTAATACTTTAATAGTTTCATGGTATGTATATTGATTTACCAAAAAGGTTTAAGATGGAACCTGTAGACATCTACATAAAATTAATGGGGTAAAAAGTGAAAAGCTTTCTTCTCACCAGATAAAGAATAGTTAACTACATTTTAAATATGTTAGGGATGGTTAAATTCAGCAGCAGTAGAAAAAAAATAACTAAAGTTAGTTTATTAGGAAATATTATGGATAGGAATTGACTTGTACATAAATACCAAGTGTTAGATGGATTTTTTTTTTAAAAAAAATAGTAGCAGTTCCCTTTCTTTTCTCATACATGGACACATTGCATTTTTATTTTTGTACAATATTTACCTCAGAAACTAAACTAGCTGCTCTACTCTGCCGCATCTTGGAGAGAAAAAAAAAAGTTGTGCCATGCCCAAGGTCAATAAATCCTTACACATTAAGCATCACCCGGGCAGAGCTGTTCCTCCTGAGATGTTCACATTATTTTATTATCTAGGAGGAATGATGGGTTATTGTTATTGATACTTGCACACCAGAACAACTAGACACAGTTTTCCCCCCATGCTATCACTCTGCTAAACAACTAATTCCCATAACACTGTCAAACTATTTAATAATGCTGTATTACTATTATTCTTCTCATCTTTCCTATTACCTACAGTATCTCCTTACCTACTTATGACTATAACTTTGTTGCTTATATCTTATTATTTATATTGTTTTATTTAGTTTCCTAGTACAATTTATGTTGATTGCTTATTTAGTATCCTATGACTATCACTAAGTGTTGTATCTTATGATTTAATGATGAATATATTTTTACCATGACTATGATCACGATTTATCACTTACAGTATAGCTTATATGTACACTGAGAACTTATGCACCGAAGACAAATTCCTTGTGTGTCCAATCACACTTGGCCAACAAAGAATTCTAATTCTAATTCTACTTATATATTTTATTCATTTTCCAGCATTATTATACTGTGTTAATTTTTTTAATATATAACCCTCCTATGTGCAAAAACAAAATAATTTTTTTGTTTTAAATGAAATATTAATAGATAAGTAAGTCCCCCCTGGAGGAAAAAAATATTTTTCAGTAAATTTGGCTAAGAGCACCCTGTAAAAACACTACTATACCTTTTACTACATTTGGGGAAATATCCAGATTGCAATTTGCTTACAGATTTTCTGTTTGCTATTTCAATTCTGTTATTTCTTTGGGCCCAAACTCATGGGCTATCACTCAATGGGGTAATTTAATAATCTGTGTCAGCAGAGCAACTTTATTGACAGTTTTCCCACTGAAGTCTCTTAAAAGGCAGCTATGTATTTTTCAAAAATTCAAATTAAATAATTTGGTCCTTATGTTTGCTTCAATTTGTGGCCTTTTTGAGAATACCTTTGTGGGATTCACTGTGACCCCGGCATATCCTTCTTCCACATGTAACACCCCTGCCTTATGGTCAATGTGGGACCTGCTATGAGGTCATGGAAAGGAGTTCTGAACCATCCCTCCTGGAAGCTGATGGTCCTCCAAGTGGTGCATTCAGACCCATCAGGCAGTAGTTCTCAGACAATGAAAGCCATCTGGAGCTACTCCCCTCTCCATGTACAGCTTGAAACTAAACTGAGCTGTTCTCGAAAGCTCTTCCCTGATTTCTCTCTTTCTCTCCCTGGTTCTATAGGTGAGGAGACCAGTGGCTCCGGTAGTGGAAGCGGCTGTACAGATGACATTTGTCCAACAGAGTTTGAATTCATCACCACAGAAACTCCTCTCATTGACTCAGACAGGAGGGAAGTGGACTCTTCAGCCAGCCAGCCCAGCCCATCCGTCCTCACGGGCTTCCTCCTTCTTACAGTCTTTCTCCTGCAAAGACACTGCAGATAATCCTGGCTCCGGTCAGCCCTGACTGCCTTTTAGCTATTGAAAAAGAACAGAACAGCCAGTTTGCTCCTTTTCTGATGCCCTCAGACAATGGACCACACCACCAACCCTTTCGGTTTTCTACCAGAAAGAAGCAGCCCTGCACCCTGCCCGGCTTGGCACTTTCACAAAGAGTGCCGGGGCCTAGAAGAAGCTCTTCTGGTTTCCATCTGTGGAACACAATGTCTGCTTCTCAGCGATCTCTTCTCTCACACTTTTATTCTAGAAGACTTTTCAGAATATTGTTTGCTTTTATGCTTCAGAAAGAAAGGGGGGGAGATTTAGGGGACCCGACATGGGCTTTTATTTTTATTTTTTTTCCATTAGAAAAAAAAGGAGAATAGGAAGAAGAAACATGCTGAAAATAAAGCTATTCCAAGGCCGAATAATAAGCACGCACATATGCACACACAGGAAATCCAAGCTCTCTTATCTAGGACACTTCTGTATTTCACTTCAAATCACCAAAATGATGTTAGTCACTGAGAGAATATCTTGGCGTCTGGTGGGTTTGGGGGTTGGTTTTTTTTGTAACACAGGTGTAACTATGTTTATTCTTAACTGTAAATGGAAGAATTGGCGTACAGGTTTCAAGCAAAAATAGGACATTTTCTGAGTACCTTCCTGTCCCTTTGCTCTCACCAGTTTCTGTTTGCCATCTAAGGCTTTTGTTGCAATTGGTTTGACCCATGTTACAACATGGGCACAGGAGTGCCTGATGGGGGCATCTGCAGGATGGTGTCAAAAAAATCAAAATGGCAGCCATGATCATGTAATCGAAGCCCCTCCTCTTTTTAGAGGCCTACCATATTCATGAATTGCACATAAAAAGGGGTGGGGCTTCAATCACATGGCTGGACCCCAATCATGGCATTTTTAACAAACCTCTGCAGATCCCTTTATCCTCTATCACCACCCATCTGCAGCAATTTTTTAACAATTCTTGAATTTAATTTAAAACATTGGACAGACCTTCCATCCCCCCAACACACAAATCTCTTATGATATACAGTAATCTTTCTTTCTTACTTTCACTTTTGACCTCGAACAGAATTTTCTGAACCTGTGCTGTTTGACATACCTGAAATGGCCAATTTAAAAGAAGCCAATAATAGTAATTGGATCAATATCTTAACTTTTCATAGAAACAACTTTCTTCATATTGTTTATTGTATCAAAAGGGAATCCTATTGCTATACTATTGACACTCCTACACGTGCACGCACTCACACAAATATCTCTCTATATACATATATAATATATATAGTACTGACACTCCGAATTTCTTTCACTTTTTTAGTCTTAGTATGGCCATCTATTTTTATATATATGAATATAAATATAAATATATATATAAAAATCACAGATTTTAACTTCTTAATTACAAGCTCAGGGTTGACACATCTTTGTAGGGGGAAAATGTTTTGTCAACCAGCTTTTTGTGTGTATGTGTTGTCATCCTTTCACTATTGACAAGTGCAAAAGTCAAACAGGAGACTTTCTGCCCATTTCTTTATAGCAGGAATACGCAATCATTTTTTTTTCAGATCTGCAATTTGCATTTGGTCTTTGAATAGTATGATGTCATGGAACGGCATACACGGTGGACATATACGGAGCCCAATGGTGAAAAAAATCTTTTTAATCACATTTTCATTAAAATGAGTTAATTAAATACAATTCAAATATAGGTAGTCCTCGCTTAGTATCTGCCTTGTACAGCAACTGCTGTTACTCTGATGAAAAAATAACGTTGCAACGAATCCTCCCATTTATCATCTTCGCAGGTCTGAAAAGCAAAGGAAGCTGAAATAAGATCATAAGTGCCATTGCAGTTTCATTTAGTGAACGCTTCACTTAATTGCCAGCTTCAACTGTGGTCGCTAAACTAGGATTACCTGTATCCCCCATATATTTCATAATTTCCACCTTTGGTCCTGTTAAGGTATCAATCCAAAGTAATTTTGGAAAGTCTCTGAAGGTCCCATCTAATCTTTGAGGATTTGCATAAGTTCCACATGGACAGGGAAAGTGTCCAAAGAGTCAAGTGTGCTTTTTTGTGATATCACATGTACAATGCATGTAAAAAAGGGACTTTGACCACACAGTTGCAATCACTATCTTGATTTTTTGACAAACTGCCCCTGGAAGCCTCTTGCAGAGCTAACTTCAAACTCATGCATTTGTGTAAATCTGTGGGATACAGACATATGCAGAACAGCTTGATTTGGTGATGATGACTGTACTCTTATGTGCTTTCCTTTAAAGTTAATTAACTGCAAAAGACTTAAAATATCTGCAGGTTGCGTCTGGATAACATGATCCGATGTGAAATTGTAATCTACTCTTATGTGATCCTGATGATCAGACTTCAGGCTTGTTCATAAGATCCATAAGCCAAACCACTTAGACATTCACTTTGATTTCAAGAAAACTGAAGTAGGAATTTCTTTAAATAATCAGAACTGTACTGGTCTCATTTCCACTCAAAATTCAAGTCTAAGTCCCGCCAGGCTTCTCTTCCTTTGGGCAATATAATCTATTACGGAGGTGAGGAGCGATGTAATTGCTATATTCCAAACATTTGGGAATTAGAAACCAGTCTCTTGTAAACCTCCTAGGGAATAATTAGTAGATCCAAAGCTGATTTCTTCCCAGCCTGCCATACAAGAGAACAAAAACCTTCCTACCGGTCTATGACTTTCAACTCTTCAAAGCTGTACCCTCTAGTCAAGCTAGACTGCAGGACATCACAAAGTTTTCTAGGAAAAAAGACAGAAATAGTTTGCCATTGTCCTCTTCTTTGCTGTCCTTGTTGATTTCCCTGTGAGTCCTGTGGCCATCATGGTCTCCCATCTGAGTTCTAATCAGGATCAGCCACACAAAGTTTCTGATTTCAGACAGCAGCAGCCACTTGCAAAGACCCAGATATTGGTGAACTGACTTTGTGTTAGGAGAGAAAATGTCAATCACATAGTTTCCTTGAATTCTGCTGACTGTGAAAGTCTAGGAGTTGAAGTCAACAGATATTAAAATGATGAAACATTGATCTAAAAGATGCTAAAAGTCAATTATGATGAAACAATCACAAACGTGGGAAAAAGTGTTAAGACTGTCATCCACTAATCTGCCCATTGTAGCACCCTCTATTCACATTTGTACAGATGATTTACTGATGTTTTCTGATCAGATGTCTCGTCTGATTAATTAACCACATTCACTTTTCTCAAGATTAAGGAACAAATTAAGTTTCCACATTCCAAGATTTCTTGCAATACTTTTTGTTTTCTGACGTTACCCAATTTTTAAAAAATATACATACTTGAATCTTCCTCAAGCTATTATCTCCTAAAATGTAGCTCTTCTGATTCCCAGCAGGCATATTAAACATGTCCAAAAAAACAGCTGCTTGAACAGCTGTTTTTATATTGTTTTAACATTAAGGTTGAACACCTGGAAGGTGTATGAGGAAGTGCTGCTGTTTGGATTGATCCTCAGCTGTATGTGGTTATTCAGTTATATGGTTACTCTGTACCTTTGAGTACCATTCTGTCCTCACTTGTCACTGATGCTTCTTAGTTGGGGTCCAGCTATGCTGAAATGGATGTTGTGTCTCTCCATTAACAAAGATTTGGCCCAAATTTGAACAAAACCTGTGATCTCATTGTATGCCTGGTTTTCCATGGCTGATTTAACTTGAGAGTAGCAGGCACAGCCTGAGCTTCTCAAAAGGAATATTTGTTTCTGAGCAAGAGTAAGATCAGCCCAAAGAAGATGCCAAGAGCTAAGTCGTGATCCTGGTTCCATCTCCCAAACCAGAGCTGATGCTGACAGGTGTTGTTAAATAACACGGAACTCAGAAAGCATGTCTCCATTTAATTGTCTTGACTGTGTGAATTACCATGTGAGCTAAAATCAGGAATGAATTTGTCCCCTCATATTTCTCTGTTTACTTCTTCATAGTAGGTACCATGACTGCTTTGTGTAAGATGTGCACAAGGCTGTCAAATACCCCCTAGAGCAGTGGTTCTCAACCTTTTTAATGCTGCGACCCCAACCGGTCGTAAGTCGAGGACTAAACCGGTCGTAAGTCGAGGACTACCCAACTGGTCGTAAGTCGAGGACTTTCCCTGCCTGGGAGCGCCACGCATGCGTGGTTCCGCCCCCTGCGCCGGCTGAGGTGTAGCTGGCAAGCGGCAGAGACCGAGCAGGCCGACCACCAGCTGGCCCAGCCCAAGGGAGGTAAGGCACCCGCCAGAAAAGGGAAAAAAATGGCAGACAAAAAAAATGGCGGACAAAAAAAATGGCAGACAAAAAAAATGGCAGACAGCCTTGCTTGGCGACCCCCGTGAAATGGTCGATCGACCCCAAATGGGGTCCCGACCCACAGGTTGAGAACCACTGCCCTAGAGGTTAAATTGTCTTTTTCTCATATGTCACATTGCCTTGGAATGTGAAAGAGCTATTAAATCTACCAAGTGTGTTGAATTTCAGAATTAGGAAATAAAAATGTAAAAACTTGGTGCTTCTTAAACACACGTATTCTATATCATTTGATGTGCTTTTCTTTACCTGGCTTATAATAATTGCATTCCAGAAATACTTAGATATTGCTGGGTCACAATGCAAAAAACAAAGACCCTTCTTGATGGTCCAGTACAACAAACAACGCTTAAATGGGTTTCCAGTGAATGTGCCTTAAGAAAGTTTGTTCTGGACAATGTAGCAGATTTGAAGTCTTGCACAGGTAGCATGGGTGTGGTAAGATAGCAGCAGGTGTTAAAGTAAACCTTCAGCTTCCCTTATCATTTTAAAGAATAACAGCAACAAACGTTCCTAAAATGAACATTTATGCTACTTCTTCCATAAGAAAAATGTGTTAGTCACCCCCTCTGGCCTAAATAAAAAGATTCTTAGATTCTTCTTTTTTTAACCAGGAAGATATTGGAACTCAGGAATTGGTT